TTCCCACCTAGTGCCCACCTGTAAATGATGTACCCAATGTGTTTATTAGCATTCTTAATTTTGTATTTTACTCATTTATTGTACTGTGTATTTCTTAAATTCTCTAGTTTATTCACATTCTACACTCATTTTATGACTCCCACTTAGTCACGCCTTTACCGGGCCGGTTACTTGCTTGTGAGCTCTTGCGTTGCTGGTCTTCCTATTCTTTATCCGTCTTTCTCCTCCTTACTGCGGACATTATGTGAAGATAGTTCTATGTTATTGTGCCCATCCGGCATAAATTTGATTGAGCCAGATAAACTACTGATCTCAGTGGTATTCTGGATATAAGTTATCAGTCAGTCAGTCAGCTTTCCATTATTTGAAGTTCAGATTTTGAGCGTAAGGTGCATTTGCCCCTCGCTCCCTATTTTAACTTCGCTAATATTTCTTTATGCTTGATCAGATAGTCTGGCTCAGTAAAAGTAGGCGGCCAGTGCAACTCTGATTAAAAATCTAGTTATAACCACGTGCGGTGCTGATAAGGACCACGTGGTTCTGTGACTCCTATTTTCTTCTTTCTATGTATTTCTCTCTCCTGATGAGGAGGGACCTTTAGCTGCCCTCGAAATCGATTGAGTGTTTCATTATACCTACGCTAAATACAAGGTTGTATTTTACGATTTTGATCAATCCAATAAGTTTAAATGAAATGCAAGAAAAAATGCATATAATTTAATATTCCGTGCAAGGAAGTCATGTGGTATACACATCAGATTTTTAATACAGTTACAGATAAGAAACGCACTCATGATTTTACTGCTTGCAACGTTGAAAAGCGTAAACACGTTGCATTGACGGTAATACAAAAAGTGCAAATTCTTCAAAAGATGGAGCTAGATGCATTTTATAGCAGAATCGTATAAAATTGCGATACGATTGTGTATTATATACGGAAAAATAAAGAAAAGCTGTTGAAATTTTACAGCAACAGTGATTCTAACACGGGAATCCGAAACCGGAAATCTTTGCCTGCGGCGAAATCGGCAAACCTCAATGCTGTGTATATATAATACAATGAATAATATAATCAATTTATATATGTAATAATAATTTAACGCATATAATAAGTTATTGCAATAATGTATATAATAATTTAATTAAATGTATCTAGTACGCCTTATTTATTTTGCACTTTTAGTCTGAATATTATGATTTATCTTTACTGTCTTGAAATCCTAAAATCCGCACAACCTCTGGTCCCAAGCTTTGAGGATTTCTGGACTTCTACTGTAGTAGGAAGGAGTTAATTCCGAGTTTATGCTTTGTTTATGGTTGAAATAGCTCTGTGCGTGAATAGTTGGTGTTAGACAACCTCTTCAAATTATATTGATATTCTAAGTTCGGTTTGCGGTGTGCAGCCGATTTAGCGTTTTAGATAAATAAGGAGCCAGTCGTGTAGCCCATCTTACCTTACTGTAATTTCACAGTTTTATTTTCTGTTCGAGTTACTTAGCCACAAGTGGTGGCTAATTGTGAGAACTGAGTGAGTGCAATTTTTTCTCAGTTCGAATAGAAAAAGGTATTTAAAACTTCTTCTGCAGTATCTGTTCTTCAAAGATATAGCTAGAATTCGCTACTCAGTTTTTTCAGCTAGGTTCTACAGTGTATGATTCCAAAACATACAAGGAGACTTTACAGACGCAATTTCGTATGTGGATTGAGTGCCAAAGGACCCAATATTGTTTTTTCGTAGGAATATAGATCGAAATGTACTGCCAGGTAGGTTTACTGCTTGAGGATTGAATTAAATCAATTACAGGTTTAATGTCGCAGTCCTCCAGCTGGTTTTTTTCGACTTCTTCGTCATTCCATGGGTCTCGACCAGCCGATGTTGAAGTTGAAACTTTATGTACGATAAGCAGCTATTGTTTCTCTTCAATCCTGGAAGTACCGACAGCTTTCTGAGCATAAAATTCTAGACAAAGCATCGGCGTTTCGAGGTGAGGATCTTTTCCGATGACGGATATTATGTCCTCAGAAGTTAAATGCAGTTCCTTATTTTTATAGTCCAAGGAAAATTTGTATTTCTTTAGAAAATCCAATCCGAGTATGCAAGTGTCTGTAATATCTGCCACATATGCCGTGTGATGGTAGACGGCCTTTGCAAACGTGATGTTTACGTTTAATTTTCAATCAATTTCGTTTTTATCTCTAGACGTCATTTGAAGGGTAACGCAAGATGGGGTCCAAATGAGTTTATCTTTAAACTGTCGAGTTAATTCATGCCGAGTGATGATAACATTGGCACCTGTACTGATAATCATAGTTTAAGGAACTCCGTTGGTATGACCCTTGATGAAGATTCCATTACTGCCGCCATTCAATGAAGAAATCTGAAGCGCTTAAAATGGGTCTTCTCATTATCTTTCAAACTCCGCTCCGTGAGATGGCCAGTAATTTGTTTCCTGCATAGTTTCTGGGAAGTGGTTTTCTTCCGTGGCCTGGAGTGTTCTGTAGTTACTTTGTATGAGGCCTTCAGCATCACAGTTCCAACTCTTTAGAATCGTTTTCTTGTCACTTCTATTTCGTCTTGTCTGGTTAAACAGTCTAGAAAACCTGTCACTTGATCCACTGGCTTCTGGACTTTAGCAGCTCTGACTGGGTGGCAGTCTCTATGAGTTCCTTGCTGGGCTGCCTCAATTCATGAGCGTTTTTTAAATCTTTGCCATCCGCCATTCGAAGAGCTTTCTGTATTTCAGGATTCCGGATGCCGTAAATAAAGTATTGCATGGACAGAATTTCCCTTGTTTCTAACGGGTACTCCGAAAAGGCGAGATAGGACAACCTTTCAACATCCGTAGTTAGTTTCTGGACTGCTTCCGTGGGCTTCTGACGATCTCTACAATTTAAAAAATACTGCAACAATTTTTTGTAGATTTTGTGAAAGAGCAAAATATAGTTGAGAAGAAGATCTTGCAAAGAAGTGATAAAACCAAGGAAAACGAAGTTCATGCAGTTTTACTCTATCCTCATGAAAAGAGAATTTCTTAGGAAAAAGTCAAAACAAAGATTGTTGAAACTATAGATCCTATTAAATTAAAAATAGGCATTAGAAATATCCGAAAGATCAATAATGGTGTTATTTTATGGTAGTTGAATGCTTGAACAAAGATGATGTAACAGTTTCAGAAAATGAAATTAAAAAGAATCCTCTGCTTAAATAGAAAATTCAAACGAAATCCTCGGCTAAGAAAAAGCCAAAAATTTTTATGTATAATACTGATGCTGAATTTAAACGAGATAAAGTTCAAGATTCTATAAAAAGGTAGAATGAAATTTTTTGAGGATGGAGGAATTGAATTGCTATTTCTAATTGAAGCCAAGCATTTAAAAGTGTATTGGGTTGCGACGGTGTAACCTGAAAAATTTAAGGCAATGGTTAAATTTAATAAACTGAACTTGGAATGGCTGCGTATTTTAATTAAAGGATACCTGGATGTTATCAGGTGTTTCAAATAACCTAAATTTGGTCATTTTCACAAAACATGTAATTATTCGCATACTGATGGTGGCCGTTTGACTTATACTTTCGTCTTATTTTGACCATTCTACTCATTTTGTTTTACCGATGGTCTTCACTAGATACAAAGTGAAAGGAAGCATTGCTTTATGAAACTCTATTTCACTATATGTTCTTAGTAGTAAACATGTGATAAAGAAATGACTTGTACTAGATGTTCTCAGAAGTGTCACAATTAATAGCATTGTAAAAATGACACAGAATATGTAAACTGTAAAAATACAAACAATAAATATAAAAGTTTGTACATAAAACATTCTAACTTGGATAACAAATACGCTTGGCTAATGAGACATTATGAGTTATTAGCCAAGAGAACTAATTAAGGAAGTTAGCTCTTAAAGAGTTTAAGAGCTGTTTATAATAAAGTGGATAAATTAGCAAAGTAATGAAACCTTTAGTTTTTATGAAAAATATATTGGTGGATATATATGGTCTTTTGTACTCCAGCCGCTGCCCTGGGTACGCCATAGTCCGTGCAAGTAATCGAGCTCATAGTTATTGCAGCCAAACAACAAAAACAACGTAGGCAACTCCAAATTTGCTCAGACGTGAAGTGCAGTGGCGTAGCTAGAGGGGGGCAAGGGGGCATCTGTCCCCGGGCGCAGAATCCAAGGGGCGCCAAACTGATGTTACGACATTTTAGAATTAAACGTTTTCCATCCTTGGCAAGCAGTAGGGGGCGCGAAATCTTCAGTTGTCCCTGGGCGCTGAACACCCTAGCTACGACTCTGGTGAAGTGCATACATTTCCTTATTTTGGGCCGTGCTTTCGTGAAAAATCCGTCGAAATGAAATAAGTGTATTGACTAAGTTCATTTCGAATTTTAGATCTTTTCAAATAATTTGCTGAATAGAGCTAGATAGATTTCATGAGCCATTAATTTGCAAATGACAAACTGATATAAATTACTTTCATTCTAAGATACACACTAACTCTTTGCGAATAAAAAAAGAAGAAAACTTAACATGGGTTTGGAACGAATGGATAAGATGCTTTTATCTACATTGATTCTGAGATATTTTCCTCCACTCTCTTGGTTTCGTTGAACGAAGTTCCTGCTGTGCGAAGTGCAGCTAAAAGTTACGCTAACATCAATTTTCCCACCGCTATAGATTTGTCTGCAAACTGTTGTCTTATTTCTGTTACTTATAGGAGCGATGTCTCGGTATTTTATACTTTGTTACTGTATTGGGCAGGCTTCTCAAATGATTCCTTAGTTGCCTAATCTTGATATATTATAAGTATTTACAAATAAATGCTTAATAAATTGTTAGTTGATGAAAGAAGTAGTGAATAACGCTATGTGTAACCCTGTAGATAAAAGTTTGTAACAGCAAATTCTTTTACATTCATTTTAGAGCATTTATTTTCGCATATATGACCCTACTATTCTTATGCGGGATGCTAGCGCCATCTGTGGCAAGTAGGTAGGTCACAAATGCGATCAATGGCAGGGAACGAAGCTGTCAGTCGACAAACTGCTGATTGCTATAAACATTACTTCCGAGACATGTTAAGAGATGACCGGTGTGAAAGGTGCTAATAAATGTCTGCATGCCAATGTTGTCCAAGGATCGTTTATCTTTTGGTAAGGGAAAGAATCCCACAGATATATTATTAACATAGTTATTCGTTTAAAAAAATTGATATTTCATGCATGAGTCAAATGTTTGAAAATTTCCTATGAAGCATGTATTAGAAATGCTACTAATGTTAATTATTCTGTGTAAGACCCTGACATCTACTAAAAGTGAATCTACATATTTATTTCTTTGATGAATTTCTAATCGTATAAGTATGGGTCAATTTTTTTTTTAATTCCCTGCAGCAATACATATATAGTCGAATACATGTTTGATATGACTTATGTGTGTGTGTGTATTTAATGCTGTTTTGTGTTTTGGAACTTTTTTTTAATAGTATATGACTGTTATGTACTATATTTATATGCGATTGATTGCATTTCGAAATTATATTTTGATAAGGAAATTTTAAAGCATAAGTTAAGAAATATTTTTTTTTTTCTCTAAATTTTTCAGATCTCTATATTTTAAACCGTTTAAAGTATTAAAGTAATTTTTCCTCTTTTGCTTTCAGAAATTCGAAAATCATGTCTGTGGAATGGATGGAATCATGGGTTTTCAGACTGTGCCTAAATTTACTTGGATATGCAACTGTTGCTATTCCTGGTGCTCTTTTAGTACAGTATTCAAAACATGCAAAGTTTCTTGATGCTCCTGGTGAGATTTTGTTTATCTTTAAAAGCTGCTTGCACTTATTATTTCATCCTAAGTATAAAGTATTTGGTGCAGTAAAGTAAACAACCCATGTATTAGATTTCATGTTCAAGTATGATGAAACTTAATATATAATATATATAAGCATGATTTCAAGTCAATTTGTTCTATGGAGATGAGAGGTCCTTGGAAAGCATTATTGTTAATGATATTCAATATTATTATGCACTTGGAAATGCTGGTCATTTTCAGAAGTTATCAAAAGCAAAATTTTTTATTCATGATAAAAAGCTCTGCTGAAATGATTTTTGACAGGAATCAGATTTGTGTAGGGATAAGACATTATTAATTTTGAAAATCAAAAATTAATATCTCTTTAAAACTTACTTCTGTTTAAAGACTTTATAAAGTTTAGAAAGTCTGAAGATTTTGAAAAATGACATTTAGAAAAATATAAAAGTCCAAGTGTTTTATAATAGTCACATTTGTTTTTTAAAATTAAATCTGTGTCTATATTAAGTAAGTGTAATGACAGAAGAGAAACATGCCTTAAGTAAATCATAAAAAGTCTTTTTATGATAAGTAAGTGTATCTAGTGTTTTATGTGCTGCATACTAGTGAGTTGAATTTTATTACCTTTGGTAAAACTAATTGGCCTAGCAGACTATAGGTTTTAGTTTTTATATTTTTTATTTTGGCAATCATTTAAGCACTTTGAAGTTTAGCCTTCCGTTCATTTATAGGCAGTGGAGTAACTGTTTGAATGGTACATACATTATATTTTGAAAAATACCAGCTCAGTTCTTTTAAAGCATATAAATTAGCTTATACTAATTGGCAATTTGTCATTAAACATAGGTCATTTGTGTGGCCGTTTTAACTTACATGCACAAGTATGGTGTCTGCTTACAGATCTGTTATAAACCTGAGATATTTCATTTTCATATATGTTAAAAAATGAGAGAAATGTTACCAGTTTTGTAGAGAATGTTGATTTTTTTTTTTTTTTTTTTTTTTTTTTCATATTTGAATGCAAGCTGTTCTTTTTGGGAGGGGGGGAGATGTACAGTTGAAAAGTTATGGGTTAACGTTCTTACTGTCATTATTATTATTTTTTTTTTCTCATTAGTCAGGATGTAAGGAATAATGTTAAAAAATACGCTTTCATTTTCATTCATTTAAACTCAGTTAAAACACAGATTCATGGTAGTTTGTGGTAGTTTAAATTTAATTGTATAAGTTGGTGGTTATTAATAGTAATTACAGTCAAAAGACAAATCAAGGCTCACTAAACAGTTTCTGATAATCCAAATTTAGAAAATAATTAGCATCAATTAAAATCTAAAATTGATGTTCATCTTTTTCTAAATCTGCATCAATTTAAGGGAAGAATAAGTTCAAAAAACAGTCATAATGTATGCTTTTGTTTTTTTCACTACATGTTACAGTGAAACATATAAAAGTTATATGAGAAAGAACAGACATTTCAGTAATTGATTTTCCGAAAATAGTTATAGTCTTTTAAGGGAGAATAAAATTACACATATGGCAATGGGCTTGAAAAAATGCATTGTGAACAGAATATGTTATGAATTGTGGTATCAAAATGAGAATCAATTTTTGTTCTGTTTATCCAATAGAATACAGTAAATAAAAATGCCGAATTATGTTTGAACTGGCAGTTGCTAGTTATTTTTTGTTTGTTTCTTTTCAAATGAACAGTAGGTAAGTAATTTATGATTAAGGGAGGAGAGTTGGAGGTGTGTTATAATTGTTGATAGTGATAGTTCCAGAATTGATGCAGGCAGTGCCAATATTCTGGTTGACAGAATTTAAGGGTAACAAAATTTTTAGAATTTTCAGGGCAGAAGAATTTAGAAGCCAATGCATGATTGCATCACATGGCAAAATGACCAGCACTGACCCTGTGTTACTATTGTGATAACTGAAGTGATTGGTGTCTAATTGTGCTTGTGAAGTTTGTGTTTAAAGTTTTTTTTATATGCAAGGAATTAATGAAGTAAATATTCTTAGTAGATTTAATGGTTGATCTTTACAATATGGTAACTGGTAGTTTGGTGACATTTTGGAGGCAATAAAGGTTACTACCTGGGACTTTGGTAATAATGTGAGCAGTACTCAGTTCAGATTACGCATTATTTTGTGTGAGGGAAATGAGAGATCATGGGATATGTCATGTGATATTAATGGACGAATTACGGTTCTTTAATCGGAAAAGGGGGGAAATCGGGAAATTTTGTATTTGGCTTTATTCTGTGTTGTGTGAAACAGTGTTCGTGAATTTTTGGATTCCCATGGCCGTAACTAAAGTGAATTCGAAATGGGTATTTATGTATGTATTAATTTAATGTATGTGCTCATTTATATTTTAAGTAGTGTTTTTTGAATTTAATTATATATTTAATTAAATGATAGTTATTTTGTGAATTTTATGTTTGTAGGAATTTTGGTATACGTTTAAGTTGAAGTAAACGTGCATGGAAATAATTTAAATATTTGACACTCAGTATTTGTAATGTTTGCGGTATGAATTCGTTGGTGACGTTTATAATATAATAGATGATTTAGAGGTAAAAGTTTTTGGATATTTTATTTATTTTATATGTGGAAATGTTCATATTTGGAAAGGGTATATACTTTTTCGCGATCAGGTAATTTCATATATGTTCTTTTTACCGGGTTTAAAGATTTAGAAAATTGTCATGCATTTTCGTGAAATTTTTTTAATTTATGAGAAAAAAGCGGTGTACATGGATATAGTGAAGAGTGTGTGCAATGCCATTTTTGTGCAATTCTGGGATGTTTTTTTTCAGTGAAAATAAGTCGACGTGTACATGGTTTACGTGTATGTGTTATTTTGAAAAATGTGCAAGGAGTTTGCTATTGTGCACTTTTTCCCAATTTTGCAGTGAATATTTTTCATGATTAAGCAGTTTTGTTAGATAAAATTTCTAGCCTAAGTGTAATTCGGCTAGTAGATTGTTGGAAGAAGTGTTCAGTAGATAAAAAGAAAAGAAACATGTCTTTACTTCATAAAGACAAAATGGCGGTGGGGAAAAAAAAATAGAGGGTTGCTGTAAGAGAGTTTGTCGCCAAATTTTCACCAAAAAATCGCCAAGTTACCATAATGTAAAGATCAACCGATTTAATATTCTTTGATTGTGATAGGGGATAGTTTGTTCTCTGATAATAACCCTATCTAAATACAGAAGGATAATTATACTCATGAGAAAGCAGGATTATTATATAAAATCTTTAACATTTAAGTTTTAGTTGATATTTACATTTATTTATATTTCAACTGAAAACATTAATGACAATTCGATAATTTGTTTCTTGTGGTAAATAATTTTTTATCAGTAATACATCCTCTTGTTACACCCTTTTCTCTGCCTTTACTTGCTGATTTGAATATTAAATACTTTCAAAGATACTTGTAATAATTTTTGAGATTTTGTAAACTGTAGTCACATTTTGGGAAAATTTGTCTTGCATTACTTATTGCACTAAATGGAAATAAATCATATAGCTGTCATACATTAATTTAACTTCCTTGAAACCAGTTTTCTACTGCTGTTGCTATGGTTTATTTATTTTCTTTTTAATCATTAAAATTATTTCTTAAGTGATATATAATTTAACTGCTTTGAGAATTATCACATTTGTGACCTATTGGCTATATACCTTAAAAACTGTCTTTGGAAAGCAGAATTTTTTATTTTATTATTTTTAAAATCTGAGAGAATCATAATTAAGATGTCTGAAAGGAGACTGTGTGTGTAAGTTAAAAAACTAACAGTTTGGTGCATTTTAAGTAAGTAAAACAAGATTGAGCCCATGGTTAATTAAAGACAGATTTATTCTGGTTATATCAGCAGGGTAGATACTTTATTGACAAGTTATTATCAGTGGATGTTTTGTGTCAGTTAATTTTTAAGTACCAAATATTTGAATAGTCATGTACTGCTTTCTGCATTAATTCCTTTAGTATGAATTACTTCATACTAAAGGATTAATTCCTTTAGTATGAAGTACTATCTCTATTTTTTGTCATGTTTTTTTTAGGGGGCAGAACAGGAAATATTTTCATATATTTTCATTTTATGTAGAAATATTTTTAGGTATAGATATGACATACAAAACCTGGTGAAATGAATAATGTATGTACTAGCAAGTATTTTTGCATTACAGCTTTTTTGATTTATTTAGTAAAGGATATCTTTTTCTTATATTTTATTTTTTAGATAATTGGTTCTTGAAATATGTGAAACTTTTTGTTCGTGGTCAAGAAGATACAAGGCTGAATGAAGCAGCAGGAAATACTACTAACGTTAAGTATAAACGATCCACATTTCAAAAAGCAGTCACTATTATGTCTTGCTTTGCTGGACTTCAGATATCGTACTTAACCTGGGGAATTTTGCAAGAGAAGATAATGACTCAAGAATATCACAGTTCAAATGGTGACACTGAAAAATTTTCAGACTCTCAGTTTTTAGTATTTGTAAATCGTGTTCTTGCATTTATTTTTGCTGGTACTTATGTTGTTGTATCAAATCAACCAAAGCACATAGCTCCACTGTATAAATATTCATATTGTTCATTTTCAAATATTATGAGTAGTTGGTTTCAATATGAGGCTCTTAAATTTGTTAGCTTTCCAACTCAAGTTCTTGCTAAAGCATCAAAAATTATTCCTGTGATGATTATGGGCAAAATTATATCAAAGAAAGCATACAAATATCATGAATATGCCACTGCAGTTGCTATATCTATTGGTACTGCAATATTTCTCTTGTCGGGTAAAAAACAAGATGATATTGCTTCTTCAACTACAGCATCTGGAGTCGCTATTCTTCTTGCATATATTGTTAGTGATAGTTTCACTTCTAATTGGCAGAGTGCTCTATTTAAGCAGTACCATATGACGTCTGTGCAAATGATGTGTGGAGTGAATTTTTTTTCTTGCATTTTTACATCAATATCATTGTTACAACAAGGCGGATTTGTGAGATCTTTCTTATTTTTGTTGAAATTTTCAAGCTTTTTATGGGATTGTATATTGCTGTCAATATGTTCTGCTGTAGGCCAGCTCTTTATTTTTTATACAATATCGGAATTTGGACCTGTAGCTTTTGTTATAATAATGACTGTGAGACAAATTCTTGCTATTTTATTATCATGCTTAATTTATCATCATACTCTGACTTTAAGTCGAGTGTTTGGAGTATTCATAGTGTTTTCTACTATATTTTTACGAATATATTTGAACCACAGAACAAAGCTTTTGCCTGTTAAAATTGTTGTTGAAAATAATCAACAAGTGTAATATCTAAGTCGCATTTTACTATTCAGATCTGCCATATAAATATTCTTTTTAGACTGTTTGTTACTTTTGAATATTTTATCTTGTTTGTTATTTATTGTAAATGAATCTTTGTATTTTAATTTATCTTTTTTTCATGATACTGTATTAGAAAAAGGTTTGTATGCAGTTGAAAAATTAAAAGCATAGTTTTTTAAAAGAAAGGATTATTTAATTTTGTATTTAACTAAGTAGTATGATTTTATTCAAGTAAATATGCAAATGATTCCAGTCATTGTGCTAGTAATATATATATATTCTAATTTTATGTAAGTGTCTTCCGGCACGATTTTATGTTCACAAAATATATAGCATCAGTTATCAAAGTAACTAAAAGTTAAAAATTTTGCTTATTAAAATTTGCGATTAATTGTTTTAATAATGAAAAGCAATAACAAAAATTATTATAAATGATATTTTTCATTCCATAGTTATAGGGTATTAAACTTGTAAAATGGATTAAGGATTATTCTAGAGCCGGGACTTATTTACTGTAAGATCAAAACTTTACCTCAAAATAGAATTTTCTAATATTATTCCATTAAATTATTGCCAAGAAATGAATAAAAATAAATTGTGAACAGTTTTTATTGTTTTAGAATTACAGAATTTCAAATTAATCTCCAAATGACGAATTTATTCTAAACACTAGGAATATATGTATTTTTGTTAATGGTGGCCACTGGTTAATTTTTTGGCTTTTGCCACTACTAAGGCCAGAAGTGGTGGTCATTTTATTAGAGCCACCTAATAGATGTCCAGCGTTACTTCTTACGAGGGGACAGACAATGTTCCATGCCTTCTCTACGATTCAAACCTAGGCTATTCAGAACCGCAGTCAGCTTTCCTAGAAATATAATACAGTGAAGTTTGTTGTAAACTTTAAGTAATCTTGAAAGATTATTGAAATAATTTTTTCTCTCAAAATGGATGTTTATGTTTTATCAAAAATTAACTGAGCCAAGAATCTAGTCCCGAAGTGTCCCTTTTCTCCAAACTTCAATTTTAATATAATTATTTCCATGTTATTAAATCATTCCTATAGCAAGAACACGAATTCAAACTCTAGCTCAAAATTATGATTATCTATGACATTGTTCTCCATTTCATGACATCTATGAAATTATGATTAAACTGGAATTTTGTTGACTATTTTCCGTTTGTTAATGTTATGGCAGAGATTAGTCAAATAAAAACATAAATTATGGTGTAAATAAGTTTAATTTCCCTATCGTGTTTAGGTATTTATAAATAATTATGGTACATAAGTATTGACACAACCACATATACATAATTTGGGATTATTTTTAATAACTTTAATTGCAAAATTTTATGTATTTATTACATACATTTTTCATTCATTTTTTATTTCTTAATTAGGTATTTATTCTGAAACTCGATCAATAAACCTATTTACATGCATTTTTTTTCTTTTGTTTTGGTGGAAATTCGAATAGATTCAGAACAATTGTTCCTTTTAGTGATTTATAACCAAATATTCTAATCTCGCAAAAATTTTGCTGGATTTTCTTGTACTGTAGACATATTTTAAAATAAGGGCTATTTTAAAATAAATAGATATTTAAAAATAATTCCCTTAAGGGCATATTTTAAAATTGAGTTTAAAAAAAATATCATGATTTGTCTGTAAAACTTTTTGGAACATGGAACATAACAAAAAGGATGCTTATCTTTAGAAGTCAAACAACAAAAATCAGCGTTATATTTTCAAATTTTCACAGGAAAATTTGAAAATATAACACTGACTTTTGTTGTTTGACTTCTAAATTAATTCAGTGTTTTTTTAAATTTTCCAATTAATAGTAATTTCCTATTATCTGAACCTGATATATTAGCACTTGTTCACAGCATTACTTGGTTTGGAGACATTTTACCATCAATGCAGTTCTCCCATTAAATGCCTGCTTTTAGTGCTGTGTTGATAAAATAGTTCAGTCTTATCATTGTTGAAGATATGAAATAGCTGCTATAAATCCTTAGACTCTCCAAATATAAGTAATATGACATCATTTCTTGATCCACAGACTTCATTTTCCCACCAATATTTTCAACTCTAATGTTTTTCCCACTTGTAATGTCAAACCTCTTAATACCTTCTCCTTAATTTTGTTCATGAGCAATTCAGCCTTGTTCAGTTCGCAAGTAATTTCACAAGTAAATCAGCCTTGGTCTTTAGCACTGGCTTGTTGAGAGAGACTTGTAAAAATTTCTGAAGTGTAAACCACTAAAATAACTTTATTAAGTAACCAAAATCTTTTTATTTAAAATTTATTTCATACTTCCCTTATTTGTATTCAAAGTAGTTAAAATTTTTTGTGTTTTAAGATGTTATTTATGGTTTGTTTACTTAAACTGTATTTCCAATGCACACTAGTTCTTAAAAAAAAAAAAAAAAAAAAAAAAAAAAAAAAAAAACTACATGTATTGCAACTAATACATGTAATAAGAAACATAATTCCATATTTTTATGAAATATATATTAAACTGAATATGCTATTTTTTGTTGCATAGAATGAAATTTTAGTTAAAGTATTTTGCTATATGGTGGTGTACAACATTTTAAACATTTTAAAATCCATTTATGGCATTTATTTTTCATTGTCTTGTTTTGTTCAAGAAATATTTGTACTGTAAAATATGATTTCTTTTTCACTTTAAGAAATCTGAATCTCCTAACTTTGATCACTCTTTTTTAATGAATATTTTAGTTAAGTAAAGATTTGTGCAGGCTATGTTAGAGTGCTGAATGTTGAAAGTATGAACAGTTAAGAAATATAGTAATACTCCTTGTAAAACAATTCATCTTCCCCCTTTTCTATTTCTAGGAATAGTTTTTAACTGTCTACTTATTTTGAAGTTTTTCTTTAAGGAGTGATTTTAAAACACATTAATGTAAGAAAAAAGTTAAATCTTTAAGCTTAAGAATTTTAGGAATTTCTTAGGTTTAAAAAGACTTTTTTTTTTAATTGAAATACTCTCTTTGAATTTAATCTAAATATTTTTAAGTATTTAAAAAGTCTATATATACAGTACAAAGTCCGTAATCTGGAATGATCTATAATCCAGACCTCAAAGCCACAAACTTTTTTGTATGCTTTACACATGCGCGTTGGGAGGATGTGTCTACAGATATGTTAAAAATGCTTGGCATAATTTATCGCCATCTACCATATTTCATGGTGAGGATAATGAAGATGATAGCCGGGAATTTGAAGGTTTTTGGAAATCGCAAACCAAAGGTGAAATTTTCCAGTTATTGGATTTTGTAAAGAAATGTGGAGAAGCAGTAATAAATGAAGATGAATAACAGAAGTTTTTTACAGCGATGACAATGCCCCAATCATTAATCAATTAACGGATGGCGAAATCTATAGTATCCAGAAAATACCACTTCCGATAGGTGGAACTTTGTAACTGAACAAGAAATTGTCTGTTTATAGAATTAAAGAGAAAGTATTAGCACAAAAAACAGAGCAACTTAAACATAGAATATTATATTTAGCAACTTAAACATAGAACTTATATTGAAAGAAATGTTTAATAAAGTAAACAAATAAATATATAGCTTTTTTTTTTTTTTTTTTTGTAAATTTTGATACCCTTTAGATCATAATTGCTCTTTATTTCATAAATTATTATTATCATATTTTTAATTGCGTAATATCTGCATGCCATCTTACCAGATTTAAAGTGATGTTCTATAATCCGGAAAAAACCCTAATCTGGAATCGCCGAAATCCCAACGAGTCTGGATTATGGACTTTGTACTGTATATATAAATTTTTGGGTAAAAAATAATAAATTATAAGGGAGTTTATAGAAAGACTTCAGATGTAACTATCTCCTTAGATAGAAATTCATTTGTGAACTATGTAATTTAGCAATGAAAAAAAAATTTTTCTTTTCAATAATCATAAATTTTCCCATTGTATTAATTTATGATAATTAAAAATACTTTATTTTTGCTGTTCATAGTACTTCATTATTCCATATCACAAGTTTGTGTTTTCTCATGCAAATGTTTGATATTCTTTAAAATTAAAATTTCTGTCATATAAATGTAATAGTTAACTATGAAGTATTCGCTTTCTGTATCAAAGTGTGGTTTTGATTTTGTTTAATATAAAAAATTTTTGAAAATGATCAAACATGCATTACATTATTTTGTAATTTATTTTGTTTTGCTCAGTTTCTGGGACGAGGTATTTGTATTAAATTTGGGTGAAACTTAAAAACTAATTGTCACCTTCTTGCACTGGAATGATTTGCTGGAAATCGAGGTTATAATGAAGAATAAAGAAGGCATAGTTCAGTAACTGTAGCCTGTTAGCATAGGAAAAGTATGTTTTTACAACTGAAACTATAATAAAAAACTAAGCTTTTTGATACAAGTAAACAAGGGACTGAAAGAAATTAATTTTATTTATAAGATAGCCAGACTGAAACATAAACCTCAGAATTTGTTTGGATCACTGTTAAGTTTCATTTTATGTTTAAATATATTTTTTCTCTCCTTCAAAAGATATCAGCATAGGTCTTTCAGTTATTTTCATTAATTATAAGAAAGGACATTTTACTTTAATAATTCAAGCTAATTTCAATCATTCTCTATCTGTTTGGGATGCCTTTTGTATCATATCTGTGTAATTAATAGAGTATTTGACGACAGTGCCATTTACATGAAAATGTTATGAACATATTTTATGTTTGGTTTACAGGAAGGTAATAATTTTCAGTTTGATATTGATATTTTTGCTGTTCATTAACTCTGTCCTTGTTAGTAGAGGTTCATCTTCTGAATTTAAGTAAAGCTTTTTATATTTCACATTTGCTTATTTTCAGAAATATCTTAATTTAAATTTTTGATCTGATGGTGGCATACTTAATTTAATAGCTCAATGCATTTGAGTTATGAACATTCTTTAGGAAGTTTATGAATTTATTTTAGGTTTGTTTAAACATGATTATTTCAATGTACATTAGAATTTTCCTAAACATAAAACAGGATGCATAAAGCAGGATATGCATAAGATAGAAATCTATCTGATGTCTAATGTGAAAGAAGGCAAATTTGAGAAATATAATTAAAGTGAACTTTATGTAATCTAGAAATTTTTTTAAATGGAATGTATATTGGGTGCTCAGTATATTTGTAAATAACTGCTTAAATATTATTCTAAATAACTGCTTTCATTCTTTTAAATTTATAGAAATGGATAAAAATAAAAGCCATCACATATCAAATATTTCAAATCAAGTTATTTGAAACATATTCATTAATAAATTTTGCAGTAATTTATTCCTTGTACCAGGGTAGATGTTTGTTAATTTTGTAAATATGCTTTCAACATAGCTGTTTAAAGAGAAATTTTGCAATTTGACATTTTTTATAGCAGTCAGTGTATGTTTGGCATTAAGAAATGCATGATTTTTGTAATTGTGAAGATGTTTACGTGAAAATGTCATTTTAGCAAAAAGGTATGAGTTGAATTTTGGAATGCATGCTTTTATTTTATATGTTTTTTATATTTCCTGTGATTTTAAAAGCCGCTGTTCATAAAGTTTTAAAAAGTTTATTCCATGTATGAGTTTTGGAGACATGAGCCTATAGAAATAAAAATATTGTAAATCTGTTTTAATTTTATTAAAAAACTATTCTTTATTGATTCTAAAGTTGAGAATCTTATTTAGCACTGAAAATTTGCTCTTTCAGTATACAACATTCTATAAGAAAAAACTGGTAATAATGAAGATTCTTTTTTGTTATATGTGGATTGCACAATTTCATATTCCTTAAAATTTTAAATGCATATTTTCATAGTAGCAACTTAAAATCGTAACTTACATAGCCAAAATAAATTAATGCTAAGAAAATTCTTCTCTCACTTGAAATCTAGGAATCAGGTTCGATGCATATCCTATTTAGTGTTGTAACAGTTTTTGATGTTATGCTTCTTATTGATAGATGATGATTGTAAATCACACGTTTCCTTCAAACTTGCAGTTCCATAAGGGATTTTTCTAGTTTAAAATTTGACTTTTTATTTTCAGCAAGTTGATCCTTTTCAGAACAGAGTTAACTTCCAGATTTATAATGCAAAAGTTCATGAAACTTGCTTTCAAGCAGAATAACTTTCCTGACGCTTGATTGTTCTTGAAGAATGCACATATAGAACTCGTGCACTTTTCCCAAATTTAAAAATGATCAATGATTAATTTTTATTTCATACTCACTAAGTATTTAAATATAACGAATTGTGTAAAAAGTTTGTACATATGACAAGTACTTACAATGAATTTAAAATATTTAGACCTATCCCGAGAGTCCGGCTGCTCTGATTTTCGCCGCCCACGTGCTTTTACGTGCTGCATCCCGCTAGGAACATCCCTGGAACTGATACAAAAACCCTTTCAAGCAGTTTCTTCTTTTCTATACAGTATACATTATTGTTCAAAAACACTGCAATATTAAGAAGTGCATAAATTACAATAATACAATTATATTAAATAATAAAGATATTACAGGAATAAATACATATAATGATTATGTAAAAATGATTAAAATTTCAAAACGAAGTCGAAAGGAACATCATCTAATATTTCCCCCCTCCTTTGGCATTATAATTGATCATACGTGGCGTAATAGCAAACGATGCAAATTTTGAATGGCTTATTGCTGAGGGTCATTCTATGCACACTGTTGGGCATTAAAATGGCTAAAATGTGAAGGTGGCATCAAATTGGAAACAAGTATCAAATTGACATGAAGGAATATGCAAATGATTAGCATTCCAACACACGCTCCTAAAGAAGGTATGGGTAACGCCATCTACATTGGGTCTGATGGAAAAAGTACATAATGGGTTTTTTATTTTGAAATCGCATATGAATGTTGGTTGTTTGTGTAAAGGCTTTGTTATGCCTCTTATAAGAAAGTGAAACTCCTGTCAGCATGTGTCCATATTCTGCAGTGGCTGAACGTGGTCTACGGGGACTGCGACTTGTTGTTCTGGCTCTTGTTGCTGCTCGTGTTGTTTGGGATCCTTTGACTGTCAAACGAATATAGAATCGATGGATCCAGAATCGAGGAATGCTATGCAAGATCTCAGCGGGCAAGAGGATAGACATGTCCTCTCAGCCTTTCGAAATCGTACAACCATGCTAATGTACCTTTAGTCAGGAATTTGGATCATGTGGCAGAGACAAGTACATCTACAGTGGTGTGACAAGCAATGACCCTGAACATGGGAGTGGCACCACATTGTCTTTTCAGACGAATCGTAGTTTTGGATACAGCATCGTGATGGGTGCTTCCTTGTGTATTGAGGAGAACAAATGTTGCCAGCTCATGTTCATCATTGTCACACAAGCCCAGTATTTGACATACTAGTGTGGGGTGCCATTGCGTCCATGCCGGTCGC